TCTCAAAACAGCGCTGGGTTATATTTAACCCAGCATTTTTTAGAGTGTAATTAAAACTAAACAATCATAATTTAAGATCGAGATTCAAAAGACAATTCCTATGTTTTATTTGATTTGAACCATTTAAACTCTGATGATACTGGTTTAACATTACAAATCCATTCGCAAAGTGGTTTACAAAACGTTGGTTCACAGATGGGCATAAAATTTGCGCAACAGAATTACTCTTTTGCTGTTATGAAAAACAGTGAGATACATGTCCAAGACTTGATTCTTTCATCCTTCCTTCCATGACCTTTTCATGAATGGAGGGAAGTTTACACTCAGTAAAGCCATGCGTGACGAAAGACCATTGCAACAAAGTGATTGAATTCATAAAAGTGGTAAAAAATAACAATAGTCTTTTGTCATATTGGAACATAAATATACAAGAAGAAAAGGCAGTTACTGCCATGAGGACAAAACAAGAGGAGGACTGAAACAGCTTAAGCATACTAAGAGAAATATGACGAAGTTGATAAAAGAGTGCTCATGTGCTCTGTGGAGCTGGTGCACAAGCATGCAAAAAAGAGCTATTTGAAGGAAGAAAGAATCAAGTCTTCTGATTAAAAAGATTCACGAATGATCTTCATCATCTGGTGGGGTTCTCATAAAAACTGTTTTTATGCTCTTGTTGAACTGTGACCCTAAGAAATGGCACAGAGCCAACATATGTTTTTGTTGCTTTTATGGTGCTTTGGCCAGTAAACAAGGCTTAAATAATGATCTCACTGTAATGTTACTCATTTTGGATGACATGTCAAATCTTAAAAATTCAAAACACAGTATTTAATCAATAAGGCTTTGGACAAAAGCACACATACCATATTGAGTGGTTTAAAGTGTAGTTCAATAAAGAACTACCAAGGAAAGTCAATTTTTGCTGTTGGCGTTTTGGAAAGATGTGCGCTGTACAATGATACACATTTTCTGTGGTGGTCTTACTTCCAATATCAGCACTACATATCTTGGGCTCCGCTTGGTGAACATGGGAATGAGTTTAATGCCAGATTAAATTACAGTACAAGCCTGTTATAAATATTTGAACCCTATTGATTTATGGTCTTCAGAATAAGAGGACATAGTAGTATTTGTAGCCAGGACTTCCTCGTGTTAAACTGAGCTTGGCACGGATTTTGATACTGCTTAAATTTATATGGGCTATTAAAATAAAAACAGATTATTTCACAATTATGAGAGAAACTAAATATTTTCAGTTCAATTACCGGAGTGTGCACCTTTCCAAGTTTCACACATCAGTGCTTGTGATTTTCCCAGGAAAATCAAAGATATAAGATTCCAAAAAGTTATAGGTTGAATTTATTCCATTAAACTCCCTGCCAGAAATTTCTCCAGAGCTATTTCTTTTTTTTGTTTGGTATCCAAGCATTGTTTTATCGACAAAAGCACCAATTAAACAGTTTGATTTGAAATGCAAACACCAGTGATGGTTAGCTTCATTCATTATCATGCAGTGAAGATACTTTTAAACTTTTGTGTTCTTTAAAAACAATTTTAAGAATCTTAAAATGCCATTATTTTACTGATTTGGTCTATGAAGTAAAGAATGTCAAGTGATAATTCTGTGGAATGACCTTAACAAGACATGGTTTCAAATTCCTTCCACTGTGATTGTTCATAAATGCAGATTTTCATGAACCGTTTCAGCTCAATATGTCAACGCATTCCATGGACAAAAACATTTGTAAGTGCATTATGGCTCATTGGGGATTGAAGTGGTTAAAAAAATAGAGATCTTGACATTGAGTGATCCACATACTTATGCAGGGGGCAATGGGAGATCGGCTCTGCTGGTAGCCTTTAGCACAACGGTTGCATGTGATACCCGTCACACCGTCTTTACAGGGGCATTGGCCTGTGGTTTGGTTACAGGTTTTGCCCGCGGCCCCCACAGGATGGCAATCACAAGCTGTGAGGAACAGAAGAAAAGAGATAAAAGAACACGCGTGTGGGGAAACGCACATACAAACAGTACATACATACAAAAAGCACAGATAAACAGTAAAAGTAGCTTTTAGGGCCCAAGTCTGGGGAAATAAGAGGGTGAAGATTGGTGAAGCAGTTGAAAAACACACTGTGTGTTTTGTGAAAGTGGTGACCAGTCTCTAAAGAGTGTGTCTCGTGACAAGAGCATGCACACACATAAAAATTCAACATAAAACTTGGCTATGAAAGTCAATGGTTTTACAAAGTGGCTTGAGAATGTCTTTTTCCTCAGTTTGCATGGAACTTACAGCAGGGCACTTCAAGGAAAAGCCTCACTATACAGTTGTATCTGGCCTCTAAATGTATCTGGACATTTTTTGGATACTCAAGTCACACTTGAAATGTCATTGTACTTGATAAAAAAAAAAATATATATATCAAACCTAATATCTGCAAACGAATGATGCTAGAAGTTTTTCCCCCCAGAATTTGCCTCACATTTGAGACATTTTTATATTTTATATATTTATATGTTCACACAGGTGTCACATCGACTAGTCATTTACTGCTATTTTCCAATAAAAAACTGTCAATATTTTTTGTCTTTTATCAACAATCAACAATACTCTTTTTCAAGTGAAATATGTTGCATGAAAGGATTCTTTTACAATGCCACTTTTTATACAATGCAAAACCTTTTATACATTTTTAAGAGTTTCTGAAATATCTAAACACTTTTTGGAACCACTCTATAACAATATTCAAATTGGCAAAAATGTCTTATAATAAACACATTTCCTGAAAATATATTTCCGTAACATGTGCTTTCTTTTTTTTCCATCAGAACATTGTGCTTGTGCCAATAATGTCTGTCACATTTCCTTCCTCTTGGGAGGTCTTTCTCCAACATATGGCTCAGTGTCTCTCTCCACTTCTTAAAGCTTGTGAACTGATTGTATTGCCTTTGTGTCAAAACTCCTTTCAAGTCCGTTTTCTTAAATTCCCACCATGGGTGGTAACATTAAAGTTATTTTGCAAAGAGTGCAATGCCATTTAATCAATATTTTCCCCACCGGCACTGTAGAAGTGATATGCTGTCAAATGTTTAACACATTAAATGAATAAATTGGCTCATATATTTGTATGAGTAATGAAGCAGAGAGAGTTGTGCTTAAACTTTATTTCTTTTAAGCCTATGCTAAGAGCAGTGAAGTGAAGTTCCAGTCCCAAGGTTGGAACGGCGCAGAGAGACAGCCACTCCCTGCATGTCTGTCTCTTGTCGCTAGTCACTCTCTTGTCATCAAAGCCAAGTTTATGTCTTGTCTTTGGAGTTGTCATTAGGTAGAAAATTGCCACACTTCATCTCTCGTCACAAATGTGCAGCAAACCACCCTAAAGATTCAATAAACAGTTCAGCTGACTAATTCCTAATAAATGAAACAGCTTCACACCCTTAAATGTGGTTTTCTGTCTTTGTGGAAATGGATGATTCAGAGTCTGAAATGCTGAGGTTTCTGTTGCAATATATATATCTATATATACATATATATATACATGAGCCACTGTGACCGGATCATTAATACTCATGACTCATTGATCCTGTTGCAGCAGTTCTCAAGTAATATTCTAGAGGGGTTTTTGCACCGAGGAACCTTTTCATAATTCCTAGAACTACTGGCAGAAGTTCCCGCTTTTTGCCATGCTAGCACTGCAGGAACTAGGAACCTATTTAGTTCTGGGCACTCTGTTTGGGGGAACTAAATTAGCTCCTACTTCAGAGTAGGGTCTAAAACAGTTCTATAGGAACTACCAGTGACGTACGT